TATATATATATAAATCACATTATCAATAAAGTTTTTATCATAATATAAATAATTATGCAAATTAATATATTTAGCATTGTAATTAATTTAAATATCTGGATGTTCTACAATATAATTTTACATATTAGTTTACTTATGTATACAAACAGCTATCTTTAACTTTATATACATATGGTCAGAAATTGTGTATATGAACCCCATATTTATTTACTATAAACAGAACAATTATATTTTACTACTATGAAACAAATTGTCTAGTAATCCAGAGCCAATTGTTTATTCATCCCTGGATGGTTGAAAAACAAGCAAAGTGTTACAATTAGATGTATACTAAATATGACTGTTCTTCGCATATTACTGCATGCATTTATTTGTAGCACCCAAACTGTCTTCTGCAGTGTACTAAGTAAAACAAGCCGGGGTTAGCTGCATGAGCCGCTGTAAATAAAAGCCCTGTACTTACAAGTTTACAGTCCAAAAGGTTCATGAATAGACAGAAAGGGGTCAATTTATTAAATGATTAGCGAATATTCACTTAGCCTAGTGAATAAAGTGCAGCTGGGCTCACTCTGAATACCCAATCAAGAAGAATTTAAAAAGAAATCAGGATTTGACCTTGTATGTAATTGGTTAAAAAAGTAATACACTTTACTGTGCTACAATAACATTCAATTATCTTTTAGTACATCAATCCCACCAGGAAAGGAACTTCTATCAGCATTATGCAAATGAAGATATATCTGCACTTCATTAGGGCTCTTAGCAAGTGATAAGTTTGTCAGCATTAAGGTTTCATGTTCTGTTAAAGTGACACTAAACCCAGGAGTTAAATCTTAAGTCTAGGTTTACACCCAGGCGACTGAGCTGCTGAGCGTTTTTTCATGCGGTTGTCGCGTGTTTTCGTTTGCACCACTGTTCTTTGAAAACCGTGCAGTTGTCATGCGGTTTTCAATGCATAGAGATGTCTGTGGGACCCACACCGCGCCGCAACCGCCCGAGAATAGCTCCTGTACTAAAACTGGTAATCATTTGTTTAACATTAACATATGAAGCTGGGAATGTTGTAATATGTAAAGTAGGGGGATCCCCTTGAAGAATGAAAACAAAACTTTTTTTATGGTATTTGGGGGTATAAACATTTACTAAGGAAGGTCCTAAAATAAAAACCCAAATTAAAAGGCAAACCTCAAAGTTCCATCCCCTGAAACAAAAGCCCTTTTTTTTTTAAGGGAAAAGTAGAGAAGGCTGCTCATGAAGCAAAGTGAATCCTAAAGGAGAACTATGAGGTTAGTGCTACCTCATAGTTCTAGCCGACCTGTGACAATGAGACTGTCACAGGTCGGCTCGGTAGATCGGGAAGTGAGCGAACACATACCGGCGTTCGCTCACTTCTCAATCCTGTCACGGCTCTCTGCCATGACAGGGGGAGGGGCTGGATTCCCCCCTCCCCGCTCCGATCCTCCAGCACTGACTGTCCGCTCTAGATAGGCAGAGCCAGCTGTCACTCACGCAGCTGGGCGGATCCAGACATAATTGTCGGGATCCGCTTCATCTGCGGCGTCTCAGTATACCCCGAGCTGCAGCTCGCGGTATACTGAGATTAGGGTGATGGGAGGACGCTAGTTTGTGTCCTCCCGTTACCCTAAGGAGAACTATGTTCCATAGTTCTCCTTTAATCAATGAGCTGAGCCTGTGTTCACTTTGAGCACCCAATCCTGTGCAAGGGAAACTGATTTTTTGTTAGCATGTAGTGAACACCACTTCACATAATTTGCTAATCTTCCCTTTGTAAAGTTTAAATATCCAATCAGGCGCAGGGAAATAAAAAAAAACAGGATTTTGCTTTACACCTGATTGGACGATTCAAGTAAACGCAGTTAATTGATCTTTTCTACAGCTGGTGATTGATTTACCAAGGGTGTAAAGCAGGGGTAGGCAACCTTGGCACCCCAGCTGTTGTGGAACATGATGCATTGCAAGATTGACAGCCACAGGCATGATTGAAATTGTAGTTTCACCACAGCTGGATTGTCAAGGTTGCCTGCCCCTAATGTAAAGGCTGTAAAGACTTAGCTGAATAGGGTGACGATGTATTCACTTCAGTCAAGCAAGCACACTTCCTCTTTTTTTTCTGTTTAGTGGAAATTCAAAAAATGCCTTCAATCTTTTTGAACCTGAAGCTCCCATTAAATAATACCTGCAATGAAGGTCCTTGTTTAGGCACTTCCTGTTGTAGGGTGACAGCTGGCTCCTAATTGTGCTCCTGTGTCACCCTGTCACTTGCACCCTGATGGAGGCTACAAGTTTGCATGCTACACACACATTGCACAGACATGGTCAAACGTTGCCAGTATAAGGAAGCCAGTCCAGAGCAATGGTGGGAAGCTGACTCAAGAGTGAATGCTTTTATATAGGAAGCAGTTGACAGTGGCTTACCTGGGCATCGGTGAGCCCCAGCATGGCTGCCAGCTGCTTCCTGTCCGGCTTGGTGACATATTTTTGCACTTCGAACCTTTTCTCCAGCCCTTTTCTTTGGAGATTGGAGAACACAGCCCGGGACCAGGATCTCTTCCTCTTGTAGGTCTGTGGCATTGTATCCTTGGTGAGGACTGCATAGGGGCCTGGGGAGCAAAGACAAAGAATACCATAAGATGACCATAAGCCTGAGGTAGGGGAACTTGCCCCTAAATGCTGCAACTTGTAGTTCCACAAAAGCTAGAGAAGCATAAAAGCCTATCGATTCCCCACATCAACCAGACAAGATTCAAATTGTATGCCCTCTAAGGTGGAAACAAAAAACTGCAATGGTTGTTTTTAGAAATATGCAAATCAGGTCACAAATAAAATTTGTATCATTGTACAATTGGGCTAGACATATGCAGATCTGAACTGTGAGGGCAATACTGTACTTAAGGTGTTACAGCCTATACGTTGCTTTTTACTTTGACATGAAGCCACTGGGGTTGATTTACCAAAGAAACAGAGAGAGTTGACTTAGCAAAGTGAATGTTTTCTGAGCTTAGAAAATTAGATGAGACGTGTTCATATGATTAATCAATCATAATGAAGATGGGTTCAAATGGTTAACCAATCATGTGCTAGGAAAACCCTGTTTTGTTAATTACTCTTGCCAATGATTGGGTATTCAAAGTAAACCTAATAGGATTCACCTATTATTCACTTTGCAAAGTGAACTTAAGCTTTTCAAAGAGAACATCCACTTTCTTAAGTGAGCAGCTTTTACTCCTAGATGTACATAAACCTTTTCATTTTGCTTTGTTCAGTGTGTCAGCAGCTTACTAAAGGGGGTATGTTCACTCTGAAAAGGGGGCATTCACTTAGCTTAGAATAAGGTGCAGCCGTGTTCACTTCAATCATCATCTACAGCAAAAAAAATGTCTTCCTTTCAGATGATTGGATATTCAAAGTGAACACTAGCATTACTTACAGGGCTATTCACAAAAGGGTGAAGAGTTTGGAGAAGGCAGGAGAAGTGAACAATCTAGGACAACATAGCTGATTTGGAAAAATTCTCCAATTCAGCTCACTTTCCAGTTCAGCTATGTTGTCCTAGAATGATTGTTCACTTCTCCAAAACTCTTCACCCTTTTGTGAATAGCCCTATCAATGTGCCATGCTAAGGGAACAGCCTGCCCCTGTAGTAAATCAATCCCAATGTGAACAAAGTGGACTTTATTGACTAAATCATATATATATATTTCATTTCTTTAGAGTGATAGTTACTTTAGTCAGCAAATAATGTGCAAAGTAAATCTGTACTTTTTTCTTTTAATTCCTCTGCATACGATTGGATATTTGAGGTGAGCACACATTTACTTGGCTATATGAAAACTATTGTCCACTTTTAGTAAATGACTTCCAACATGTATGCAAGGGGGTGAATTGTTTAATGTAGTATGTTAAGGCTGGCCTCAGTTTTCTTCAAATGCAAAATCAGGCTCAGTGAAAAAGAAAGAAAATTACAATGAACCCAGCAGAATGTTTCCACGCAAGCCAGTGTAAAATAAAAATAATTCAGTAAATAAATAAAATTAAATATAAATGTAAAGAAAAAATTATATATATATATAACCAACCTCAATGTGTACCCATGTACATATTATATAATCAAATAA